ATAATCCCTTTTTATTACACTTACTTCAAATTTCCTAAAGGATATTTTCTGTTTACATTTATTCATAAGGTGTTTCTTCTTACCTCTACTTTTCTCTTAAAATAGATATCGGCTGCAGAAAATAATGGAAATGAATCAGGTGTGAGAGAGCTACTTAAAAGGATTGTACAGAAAGAAAACTGGTTTTCTACCTTTGTGCATATTCTTCATCAAACAGGAAACAGTGCCCTCGCGCAGGAGTTAACAGGTGCTGACCACTCCAAAAGCAATGCAGGTATTTCTAAATTTACTAAGGAAGATTTTGCACGTTTTTGCCTAGTATAAAATGAATCATAGATATACAGCTGCATTCTCTTAGTTCAATGAGAAGAAAGTTTTGAACTAATAATGTTTAGACAAGATATCATGTCTGCATCTTGTACTGTGAATATCTACTACAAAGACAACAATATACAATGTATTCATTGTTGTAACTGTCCTACTAACCTGTTTTGAGACTGTCACCTTGCTACTTCTTTCTCAATAAAATTAATATATCTAAAAAAAGAAGTTTGTCAATGTAATGCCAGACCTCAAGATTTTATACTGAGAAGGGATTTGATCAATCATTTACTTTATCACCTTCCCAAATGAGGAACCTGATGTTTGAGAAACAAATTAGCTTACCAGAGACAGCAAAGCTCAGCAAACAAGTCGAGGACACTGGTGGTGGGCTTCTGACTCCACCACGGTCTACAGTCAGTCTTACTCCAGAAACACGGAAACAGGCTGAAAGGTTAGTGAAAAGATTTTTGACATTGCAAAAGACAAACAAATTAGAAGAAAATATTATAGGATTGTAAATCAGCTGCATATCCTTGTATTTTCATAATTTTTTTATTTTAAAGAGAATAAAATAATAAAAATGATATAGAATTTCAAATCAAGATGAAAAAGGAAATTAATGTGATTGTTATATTGCATATTGTTATGGTCAAAGTAGTTGTTCAGATTACTAGATATCAGTATGCAAAATCAATTAAACAATTAGGCATTAACTGTTCCTTTCAATAAACCAATAGAAATTAGTAGTACAATTATTTTAGCTATCTTGTAATGTGTGTATATATATGAAGTAATATAAGGTATATATATGTATGAAGTAATACATACACTTTTCTTTTCTTTCTCGCTGTCTCTCTCTCTTTCTTTCCTCCTTTCACCCATCTCAGTTGCTCTTTCTTTTTGAGCAGTTTCTTTCCCTTTCACAGTAGCTACTGTACCTTTTATATTCCACTTACTCTTTTAGTTTCTTTTCTTTTTTTTTTGGCGGAACCGGGGATTGAACTCAGATCCTTGCGTTTGCCAGTCAAGCGCTTATCCTACTGAGCTATCTCCCCGGCCCCTCATTTAGTTTCTTAAACCATTTGGCAAAGGACTTGTAGCTGTGAAAATATTTGAACCTTCCTTAGTATAAATTTTTTAGACATTTGATAATAATAATACTATTTTAATCCTTTGGCATGTATTAGTTATAAATCTAATTTAAACCGACACCTTAATTTTCATAGTATGTATCTGATGCTTGCAAAACTATCATACATAAGACAAGTTCAAATTGTTAAGGGTCAGTGAGATAACTCAGCTGACTAAGCGCCTGCTTAGGCAAGTGCAGGGCCTGCGGTTCAGCCCCCTGCACCACATGCCACGCAGGCCCCACCCCCAGGCATGCTGAACAAGCCACTGAGATGGGGCATGGTGGCGCATGCCTGTAATGCCATCACTGAGGAAGCTGAGACAGGAGGATCAGTATGAGTCTGAGCTGTGTAACAAGACCTAATACCAAATAAATAATAAATAATTTTTAAAATGTGGCTATAAAATCCCTATTTCATATACCATACCTTCTAGTGGAATGAGATTCACACTAAATTTTCTGAATTACATATGGAATGCCAAAGCAGATTGTCATAGATGGCATAAAAAAATGTGAGCAGTGAACCAAAATAACTAAATTTTTGAAGAAATAGCACATTACATTCCTTAGTGAATTATTTTATGAAATAGCTTAATTTTTTCAATAGTTTGAAATACAGAAATATATGAATGTATTTATTTTACTCATTTAAAAGTGGTTCATTCAGCTTTTAAATGTCAGACAACAGTATTCCACTTTCAGATGCTCCCTACTCATCCTGAAAAGCTGTCTATCATATCTCTCCTCTTTCTCCAGCTTCAAATAAATCATCTCTCAATTTAAACAAAAATTCAGACAATAATTCTATGCTGCACCCACCGCAAATTCTATGTTTCTACTGTCGTTGTATGATTGCTTTTTTGGATGAATATACCTATATGTATATCCATACAGACAGCCAGAAAAAGATACAGAGATGAGAGGGAGAGGGAGAAGGACAAAAGAGAGAGA